CAGAAAAAGCATTTGACAAAGTACAACATGCATGCTCTACAAAATAGATTTAGAGAGAACATACCTCAACATAATAAAGGCCATCAATGAAAAATTCACAGCTAACAGCATACTCAATCATGAAAAACTGAGAGCTTTTTCCCTTAAGGTCAGGAACAAGGATGTCCACTCTCACCACATTTATTCAACATAGTATTGCAAGTCCTATCTGCAGCAGTCTGACAACAAAAAGAAATAAAAGGCATACATACTGGTAAGAAGGAAGGAAAACTTTCACTATTTGCAGATAACATGATACTATATACAGAAAACCCTAAAGATTCCACCAAAAAAACTATTAGAACTGATAAATTAATTCAGTAAGCTCAGAGGATACAAAATCAATGTACAGAAATCTGTTGTACTGGTACGTACTAAAAATGAAGCAACAGAAAGAGAAATTAAGAAACAGTCCCATTTATAATTGTACCAACAATAATAAAATACCTAGGAATCAACTTAACCAAAGAGGTGAAATACCTGTACTCTGAAAAGTATAAAACACTGATGAAAGAATTTGAAGAAAACCCAAAGAAATGGAAAGACATTACATGCTCATGGATTGAAAGAATATTGTTAAAATGTCCATATGATGCAAAGCCATCTACAGATTTTATATAATCCCTATGTAATCCCTTAAAATTTGTATGGAACTACAAAAGGCACTGAATAGGCAAAGCAATCTTGCTAAAGAAAAACAAAATGGGAGATATCACAATCCCAGATTTCAAAATATAATACAAAGCTATAGTAATCAAAACAGTATGGTCCTGAAACAAAAATAAGACACATTAGTCGATGGAGCAGAATAGATAGCCCAGAAATAAACCCATGATTATATGGTCAATTAACTGACCATATAACTGAGGCAAGGTTATGCAATGGGGGAACTACAGTCTCTTCAACAAACAGTGTTGAGAAAATGGGACAGCTACATGCAAAAAATGAGATTGGACCACTTTCTCACACCATACACAAAAACTCAAAATGGATCAAGGGCCTAAATGTGAGCCCTGAAACCATAGAAATTCTAGAAGGATCACAGGCAACAATTTCTCAGACATTACCTGCAGCAATATTTTTTTAGATAGATCAACTGAAGCAAGAGAAACAAAAGCAAAAATAAATTATTGGAACTACATCAAAATAAAAAGCTTCTGAACAATGAAGGAAACAACCAACAAAACTAAAAGCCTACTGAATGGGAGAAGGTATCTGCAAATGGCATATGGGATAAAAGGTTAGTATCCAAAATATATAAAGAGCTTATACAACTCAACACCCAAAAAACAAATAATCCAATTAAAAAATGGGCAGAAGACACAAACAGGTATTTCTCCAAAGAAGACATACAGATAGCTTACAGATGGTTAACAGAAACATGAAAAGATGCTCAGCATCACTCACCATCAGGGAAATGCAAATCAAAACTACAAGGAGATATTTCCTCACACCTGTCAGAGTGGCTAAAATCAAAAATACAAGAAACAAGAAGTGTTGGCAAGGATGTGGAGAAAAAGGAACCCTTATTCAATGTTTGCCGGAAGGCGAACTGGTGCAGCCACTGTGGAAAACAGTATGGAGCTTCTTCAAAAAGTTAAAAATAGAACTACCCTACAACCCAATAATTGCACTATTGGGTATTTACCTGAAAAATATAAAAACACTAAATGAAAGGGATACATGCACCCCTGTGTTTATACCAGCATTATTTACAATAGCCAAATTAAAGAAGCAGCCCAAGTGTCCATTATTACATGAATGGATAAAGATGTGTGGTATGTTTGCGTGCGTGCACGTGCACACACACACACACACACACACACACACACACTGGAATATTACTCAGCCATAAAAAGAATGAAATCTTGTCATTTGCAACAACACGGATGGAGCTAGAGAATAAAATGCTAAGTAAAATAAGTCAGAGAAAGACAAATACCATAATTACACTTGTATGTGGAATTAAGAAACAAAACAAGTAGCAAAGGGGAAAAATGAGAGACAAATTAAGAAATAGACTCTTAACTATAGAGAACAATCTGATGGTTAACAGAAGGGAGGGGGGAGGGGGATGGGTGAAATAGGTAAAGGGGATAAGAGTACACTTATTAGGAGCAATGAATTATATATAGAATTGTTGAATCACTATATTGTACACCTTAAACTAATATAACACTGTTAACTATACTGCAATTAAAATAATAGTAGGGCTAAAAAAACAAAACAAAACAAACCCCAAAGAACCATAAACATCTTGACCACCTCACAGGGTTGTAAAGGCTCAAAGAATCCAATTTGTTTAAATACGGCGACTTGCGGGGCGCCTGGGTGGCGCAGTCGGTTAAGCGTCCGACTTCAGCCAGGTCACGATCTCGCGGTCCGTGGGTTCGAGCCCCGCGTCAGGCTCTGGGCTGATGGCTCAGAGCCTGGAGCCTGTTTCCGATTCTGTGTCTCCCTCTCTCTCTGCCCCTCCCCCGTTCATGCTCTGTCTCTCTCTGTCCCAAAAATAAATAAACGTTGAAAAAAAAAATAAAAAAAAATGTTTAAAAAAAAAATAAAAATAAATACGGCGACTTGCTACATAGAGTGAAAAGTTTCAGATGATGCATAACTGAAAAGTTCTATATAACTATGAAGGAAATTACTCAAGCTCTGTTGTTTTGCCTTGAATCCTAAGGAAGCAAAGGCCCAAAGAATCCCCTCTAAGCCCAGAGACCAGGTAGAGATGACTTAAAAATGGCCCTCTTCTTACTGGGCTGAGTATTTTACCTTGTATCTGTATACCATTGATATTTAAAGTGGCAGAGAGGGAGAGAGAGTGTGGGTATAAGATCTCAGTGAATTATTAGCAAGAAACTGCAAGTGTTCAACTGACCTAGGTGAAGCATAACTATAGGATTTAGCACCTCTGTGGTAACATGAGAGAAGCCTTGAGACAACAGGGCACCAGGGGTTGTTCTAGAGAAACACAAACCAGTACAGGACCCAAGCTTTGCACTCAAGAGAGCATCCAGCTTAATCTATCTCTCCCTCTCTCTTTCAATCTCTTTCTCTCTGTCCAATCAAAAACAACTACAAATACACTGTGGGCAATATTGGCAAGAACAGTTCACAGAATGGGTGAATGAGAAAGGGTCTTTGTGACCAGACTGCCCAGTTTCTCCATTAATGGACTGAGATACTAAGGCCTGGGCAAGTCAGGTGGCATACCCTCGAAGAAATCAGCAGCCTTACTGTGAGGAGAAACCAGAGTTCCTGGCCCCCTTGTAAACAAAATTTTCTTGGTTTCACACCAACTATGAAGGAGGTTTTAGTATTTACTTCTCAATTACAATCGATTTTTTCCTTGAGGAATTAAATTTATTTTTCTGAAAGTCCTATCACCTGGAAACTCTTTTCTCCCTTTCTCCCTTCTTCCCTTCATTTCCTTTTTCCTTTCTTGCTCTATGGCTATTGTTTTCTTCAACCCTCTCTCTTTCCTTCTTTCCTTCATAGGTATATATACCTGTAGGCATAGGAGAGAGACAAAGATAGCAGATCTAAGTCAAGGGAGTACAATTTGCAATGGCCTAAAACAGCTCAAAATTTACGATTGAGAATTTAAAACACAATTTACCAATTTCAGTCCTGAATCTAGAAAAAAGGGTGCCCCCCCAAGTAATCTGATAACATTTATGCAAAATTAAAATGTCATTATTCCCCAGAGCACCACCATCATCACCCACTCCTCAGGCTCTTTATCTTCAGGTTCAAAATAATCCCTGGCTCTAGGAATTGCATGACATCGCAATGGGTGTGGCAGCTTTTTTGGATCTCGTGGGGCCAAAGGGAGTTGATAATGTGTTTCTCTCACAATCATCCACATTATCTGTTTTAAAACAGCCTTATTTAATTTGAACTGAATTTGCAAACTTGGATGATTCCTAATCTTTCCCACTCCTTACACTTAGGTCCCATCAGTTCATTTGATTCTTGACTCTGTTCCTAAGAATGGTATACATTTTCCCCAGCCATGTAAAGGAGAGGGAAACTCAGGAGGAGAAAAAACTCAGTTAACAATGTGACAAAAACTCTCCCTGGTGAGTTCACAATAAAGAAGACACACAACATCAAACACCAATAGCGCCAAACCATTTACTGGAGGTTTTCAAATCTTTCAAAAATGTTACAAAAAGTGAGCAAACAGTGAAACTAATCACAAGTTTGACATCAAAAACTAGTATCTGGGTAAGTCCATGCAGGCATGTCGGGAAAAGGGAATATCTATGAGTATTTGCTATGATCAAAACACTGGATTAGGGTCTTTTACACATTATCTTATTTTATCCTATTCAGGAAAAATTATCCTGGACTAGGAAACTATGAACAACAACAACAAAAAGGTTGCGGGGGTGGGGGGGATGATTGTGTCATCTCGTGTGCTAGCCCATTATCCATCAAACCCAGCCAAGGGCCATCTGACTCTCTTGGGAAAGACAACTTTGAATAATAATTCAACAGAGACCAGATTAGGGACCTGGTAAAGTTGGAGATGGACTTGTAGAAAATTGGTAAAGCATGATGATGTTTTATTTGTACTTTCTGACAGAGAAATTTACCTCCAGGGCGATAGTTCTGTTTCTCTGTAGCACACTAACCAGTTTTATATCTTATTTTGCAATCTCATTCTAAGGCTTTTCCTACTGACTAGTTAAATTCCAATTTCACATTCTCTTCAAATTGCTGCTATTCTGATGATGAGTTAAGTGGAAGTCTATTCATATGAAAATTATGTTTTCAATGATTTAAGAATTTGTGCTTTGATAATCCCCAAACAACCACATGAGGTAGGTAGTATATCCTCATTTGCAGAGGAACAAAGTGAGTCTCAGAGGAGGCACATTTCCTGCCCAAGGTTATAGAGGTAAGAAGTAACAAAGCTGGAGTCTGAACATAAATATGCCTGAATTCTTTTACAGGAACTACAGTGGTAACTCACATATGGATTCAAAATCTGGACTGGAACATCTCCATATATGTAAAACTAACTTTACATATACGCTTCAATTATAAACACAAGAGCTGAATATCGAAAGTGACTAACGCTGAATGACCTAAACCTGAGTACTTAAATAGTAATTGAAGAGACTGTTTATTAATTTGTTTGGTTTCAAATCTGAACTTTTTAAAATTGGAAGTGTTGGAAGTATTTGCCTATACACTATTTGGAATATTCTCATTAAAGTGTGAAATTCCAATGCTATGCTGGTTTCATTAATGGCACCGGATGATGCAGGGCAAGTTACTACTGAGGATGGTATAAAAGTCATAGAAGAGTGTCCAGAATACTTACTAGAGAGCCCCTCTTGGACATTTCATGAACATGTCCCTGAGGGTTTGTGAATACATTTGACCAAATTCGCAGTTTTTATCCCACTATAAAGATGCTCCAATCTACTCTGTCTTCAGACCGGTAAAAAAAACCAAACAAACAAAAAAGCAAACAAAAAAAAAAAAAAACAAAAGGAGGAACATCAACATGTTTTTCTATTCTGCGAGCATGAAGGTGATGTGTTTGTCCTGGCTGAACACACATGGTATGTAGATATCCAGACTTGAGAGTCACCAACAGCTGTTAATCTGAAAGCACCATAGTACACATTGTACATCTTAAAAATGTATTTTGGGAAAGGCTGATCTCACATATACATGCTTATCTGTCAACAAGCATGCTTTTCACAGCTGAGATGTATACCTTTTGATTGCACTCATTTTATCCACTTGAAGATCCATTCAATGTATATGCAGAGTTACAAATTTTTCTCCATTAATAAGATTCTAAAGTTCAGTTCAGTTGGTATCTAGGTTGGTAAGAAAAACCTCTGTTTGTATTGTGAGGCCTTTGCCCAGCAAATCACAAATTAGACAGTGACCATCTGGCCTGGTTTCCCAGAGAGTGCACCCCTATTTGGTGGGCCCTGGCAGTTGTTTGCCAGAGATTTGAACTGAGGCAATCTGCCCACCTCAGCCCCTGATCGCAAACTCTGGAGCCAGCTGAATTTCAGCTTCGGCTGAAGTGAAAAGTAGCTATGTGGTTTAAATTCATCTTGACTCACAGTTTCACTGTTTTATCCAGGCTAAAGCTGCTCACTGTGTCTGTGGTTTTCTTACATAAATTTTCAATCCAGCTAGTGCTATTATACAGTGTCTTTTCCAGCCCTGGTGTTGGGGGTGGATTTTTAGCTCGCATATTTTTTCCAGATGTGATAAGCTCTCCATAGCCCTCTTGGTGAGCAAAAGCATATCCAGATCTTCTTGAGCTTGACCTGCGAGTCTGAGGCCTTCGGCTACGTGAGGGCTTTGCCTTCTTTTGAGCTTTTTGCCTCCGACGGATCTAGAGAGGAAGGAGACCCAGAGTGAGATGATGCATCCAAATGACAGACTCTAGGCCCTGGGCCACTTTATGAAGAGAAAGCTTTTTCATGAGAAACATCAACCATAACAAAATAATCACCTTCATTGCAAAAAGAAGTGTTTCACCACAAAACCAAGAAATTTTCCACCCCAAAGACCGTAGTGAGCACTGGTCAAGTTTTACTCCTACCGAGAGACTAGTAAGTAAGCAAGAAGTATTAAGACAAATTTCATTACTGTCTCCATCTTACAGGTCCATCTTAAATGAATAGGAACATACTTTTATACAGAAGGATTTTCTAACATGCAGTATCCAAACACAGTCAGAATACTGATCTATAATCCCAGGCTCCAAACACAGGCCTTTCCCCCTTTCTCTTCAAGATTCTCCAGATCCAATCGTCATTAGTAACTGGACTAAGAGAAAATTTAGAAAATGAGAGTCAGAAACTTCCAACTCTTGTGGTAGGTTAGTATATCATGAGATTTTCAGGGTTTTGATTTCTTTTAGTTTTTTTTTTTTTTTTGTTATTGTCGTTTGTTTGTTTGTTTTGCAGCCTTTAGAAGAGCTCAACATCATTTGGGTAGGTTTCCAACATTTCTTTGATTTCCCTGTAAAGCTGAGGAGAAAAAGATCCAAGCTTTGGTGTAAGCTGCATTGTTCTCTGATTCAACTGATCTCTTGGAGTCTGACTTTCATGTCAGGAGAAAACCATTAAAAGCATAAAATCATGATCTGACTACATACTGGAAGAAATGAACATCATCTTCCTTCCTTCAGCTCATCCATCATTTTCTGGGTTTATATCAGAATGAGCTCATGGAGCCAAAGGGAAAGGACAGACCTAACAGGGGAATATTTGAATCATTTCAGAGAGAATCTTCTCATGCTTTGGCCCCAGAATGTGGAGGATATCCTTGCCTCAGTTCCTCTCAGCATCATTGGCCCGGTCACTCACTCCATAAGTGTTTGCCCCCTCCTCACGATGCAACTACAAAAGTGTGTCTCCCCCTTATTTCTCCTTTTCTGTTTTTTATCTGGTTCCTGACCTAACCTGACATAGTCTTGCTTATACTACTCTTCTCATAAAACACTGAAATATATACTGTTAATCCCTTAGTTTAAGAATTTCCATAATCTGTTCTATTTTCAACTTTGTATTTTCCAATCCAGTCATGTTGCTGTTCCCTTTCTTAATCTGTTCAAAAGGTAACATCTCCCCCATGTTTCTGAATCTACTACCACATTTCTACAAAAATTTAGAATTCCTTCACCTGATACATTACTTGTTTCTCTTTTACTGCATCCTTTACTTGCCCCCATTGTCAATAACTTTCCCTATAGTTTGCCTTTGCCTTAGAACAGTTTTGCACTCATATTTAGTCTAGACATTTATCTTCACTGGCATTCACAAAGCTGGTCCATTCAGAGGTGGGCAGTTCCATCTACTGTGATGTGATGCCATATACCTATGGGTATTTCTGGTGAGAAGTTCATTATCCCTTTCCTAGGTTTCCAATCAGGCAGAGAAGGACATGATTCCAAGAGCCAAGAACGAGCCCTTCAAATGCTCATCAGCGCTGCAACATACCTGGTCACTCAGGGCTGGGCATATATCCACTTTCAAATATCTGAATGCCACCACAGGCATAACAGAAGCCACTGTCGTTAAGAGAATAACAAGCCAGATGCACTTCTGGGCCAAAGAATGTCGTGCATTTCCTATTATTAAGGACAAAAATATACACTGTGGTTATAAATAGGACTGAATTTTGAATTAATAGTCTCTGTCTATTGCCATAAGGCCTTTTTTGAAATGGTGAGGTTTGGACTACTAGGGAGGACCACTAGGTGTCTTCTCCAGTATATAGTATGCTCAGAGGTGATGGTAAGGCAAGAGTGGTAGGATCATCACGCTTGGGAACTGCTTCATGGCCTGATTACTTGGAGACAGCCAATCAGAGCCAAGTATTCTCTGATCCAGACTCAGTCCAGCTCACTCAAGAAGTAGAATTCTCTCATCCAGCCTCAAGATCCCTTGACTACAAAGCAGCCATTATTTTTAAAAGGCACATTTGCTCTTAAAGACTCTTGAATAAAACTGTCATATCAAAACTATACAATATATGTCTGGGATGCAGGTACAATCTCAATAGTCTTAGTGACTGGCTATGCCATAAAAGGAGAGCTTTAGCTGCTACCTTTACAATTCAGGCAGCAACCTCAGAAAACCTGCCTCAAAGGGACTTGCTGATCTCTCTAACATTTACTTGGTTATGAACAATTCAAGGTTCCAAGGAGATCAGGGATGTTCCTGGGTTTGTGAAAGGAGCATTCCTCTCATTAGGAGGCTTCAGATGCAGCCATCCAACATGCTAGTGCAATACTGTGGTGAAACTCATCACCAAGCCTGAAGCCGGTTTCCTTACTTTATACTCACACCTCATATCCTGGGGTGTTTGTTTAAAGAAAGCAATAAGGGTCAGTTAAGCAGACAGACAAATCCTACAGAACCATGTCAACCCTACTTATATGACCAAAATAAACATCTGTCCCTGTTGGTTTTCTAGGGATTTGCCACAATACCTCCAATTAGCCAGGTCCCCTCTCTTCAAAGTTAAAGTGTTAACCCCATTTGAATGTGTTTGGGGTATGAGGGCTTGGCTACTGACTGGTATGTCTGCACTTTCTGGCTTTGGAGGATAGAATTTGCCCCCCAAAGAGCAGTCGATTACAGTTGCCTAGACAGAAACAAACTTGACTCAATAAATTATATGACTCTTTGAGCTCCTTGAAGCTCAATACCCCCAGGCACAGTTGGAAAAACAAGCTTCACTTTAAAACCACACTCCTGCTTGCTGCTGGCTACTAAGGAAAAAAAAATTTTTTTTTCTTAAACCCCAATGTTGATCTAACTTTTGAGAAGTCTCATTGGAGCTCAGTAATTAATTCCTGGAATGGCATGTGTTTAGCTGGAGAGAGTGGTCCCCACACAGACTACTTTCTCCAGTTGAGGCATTCCGGTCTCATTATGCGTGCTAAAATGCTCTCTTAGGACTAGAAGTCTTCTCATCAATGCGCTGAACTTTCAGATTTGGCAACCAAAGAAAAAAAAAAAAAAAAAAAGGAAGGAAGGAACAAAAAGAAAAAAAAACTAAAAATAGTTAAATGTCTGTCTTTCGTAACATGCTTATTCTTATTCCTAACCGTCATGTTTCTACATGGTTGTAATCTTTTGGTAAACAAAGTATTAATGTTTCATGCTAAGTAAGAGTGGTGTAATTTAAAGATTTCCATAGACATGCAAAGTGAGGCAGAAGATGAAAAAGAAGGTTCTTAAGTGTATGTGCACATTTAATTGGAATTATAATTTCAGGTGCCTTTGCATCAGTGGAAATACATAGCCCTATAGTTGCTCTTCTTTTGCCTTCTACATAAATAAGTTTTCTCAGAATTGTTTTTCTGGATTCCTTAGACTGAATTCCTCAACTGGTGGATGAAAATCTCAGTCCTGCCTGATAAAGCTCAAGAAGGCTGACACTATGCATCTCTCTTTTCCACAGTTTGCTGGGATGGAACTGAGAAACATCACTGTTACCAACTTATCTTACACATATTAGAGATTTCAAAACTTCTGAGAAAGTATATTAATAGCCTCATTGTGGAATAAAGTTCAGTGGCCCTCTGGGAATCATTTTGAAATGTGGAATACAATGGTAGCTTACACCATTGTAGTATTATAGAACAGGGTGTTAAGGTATTTTTGGAGTTCTTTGGCTACCCATCTGCTGCTCAAATCACTCTGCAGTGTTCCCAACTAATAATCAAGACACAGTTGCTTGAATC